TAACATCCAAGATGAAGGGCAGCGTGTCAGGGCACAGTCATCAAGATCAAGAACCACCTACACCAGACGACAGAGAGGGCAGATATTCAGAGGACAAGTCCATTACAGAAACGGAAGGTGGTGTAAAGCATGATGCAAGAAGGGGGAACAACTTGGAGCCTGCCTTACCCGGAACACCAGCTCCAATCATCCTGGATAGTGGCGGAGGCGATAGCTTCCTCCCCAACAGGATGGCAGAACTTGAGGCAGAGAAAAAGCCTGTCAAAAACCTAAAGGGGGGCAGAGAAGTCGATCAAAATTTTCATGTTACAGAAGAGATGGAGAAGGATATTAAGAGGGCGCTAGGTCAAGGACCCCAAGAGGAAATCGTAAGTAATAGATTCAAATTGGAACTCACCCGAAGAGATATCCAGACCCTGAAGAACGGTCAATGGCTCAATGATGAGGTCATCAATTTCTACATGAACCTTCTGATTGAGAGAAATGAAAACCAAGGCTACCCAGCCCTTCATGTGTTCAGCACTTTCTTTTACCCCAAGCTAAAGCAGAGCGGTTACACTGCTGTGAAAAGGTGGACCCGAGGAATCGATCTCTTTGACAAAGAACTTATCTTGGTGCCTATTCACCAGAGGGTACATTGGAGCCTGGTGGTAATCGATTTGAGAAAACAAAGTATCACATACCTCGATTCCATGGGGCAGACAGGGCAGACTATCTGTGAGACCATCTTCCAATATTTACAAAATGAGAGCAAGACACGAAGGAACATCGAGCTGGACCCTTTGGAGTGGAAACAACACAGCATGTCAGCAGAGGAGATTCCTCAGCAACGGAATGGGAGTGACTGTGGGGTGTTCGCCTGTAAATATACAGACTACATCGCTAGAGACCAACCTGTCACCTTCTCTCAGCAGCACATGCCCATCTTCAGGAAGAGGATGGTATGGGAAATCCTGCACAGTCACTTACTGTAACAACACCATCAACCCGATTGCTGTGGTCACCAGTGGTCCCTGTATTTTTCTGCCCATGTTTCTAATAGACCTCAAATAGGATGGGTTGAAGAGATTGAAAACAGCTATTGAGCTGTCTGACCGGATGAAGCCCACTCTCTTTCCTATAGTCCTAACTCGGGATGTCAGACTACTGCCCTAATGCCATCTCTAGGATGCATGCAAGCACTGCAGGCCCAGACACTGCTGCTGTCCAACCCACGGAGACCACATGGTCAAGAAATACTGTTTGAATGCTGGATTTAGACAATCAATGGCTGTTTTTTCTTTTATTTTGTCTTGTTTTGTTGTGTTCTGCTTTTTATTTCTGTTTGGTTTTTTGGTTTTTTTTGTTTGTGTTTTGGTTTTGTTTTTTCATTTTTGTTTCTAGTTTGTGTTTTGTTTTTTGTTGTTGTTTTTTGTTTATTTTGTTTTTATTCATTTGTTACTCTTTAGTTGGGATTTCGGTTTTGTTCTTTGTTGTTTTGTTCTTTGTGTTTTTCTTGTTTTTGTTTGTGTTTTTTGTATTTTGTTTGTTGATTTTTGTTTGGGTTTGGGGTTTTGTTTTTTTGTGGTGTGTTGTAGTTTTGTTTTTTGTTTTGTTTTTATTCTAAGTTGTTTGTGTTTCTGGTTTTGGTTCTTTTTTGTTGTTTGTGTTTTTTCATTTTCTTTTGTTTTTTGGGTTTTTTTTCTTTGTGTTCTTGGCTTTTTGTTGTTTGTTGTTTTATTTTTTCGTGTTTTAAGTTTTATTTTTTCTAATTTTTTGGTTTTGCTTTTGGTTCTGTTTTTGTTTTTTGTTGTTTTGTTTGTTTTTATTGTGTGTTTTTGTTTTGTTTTGTTTTTGTCTTTCTGACCCCGTTACACTGATTATTTCCCTTGACTCACTTGCAAACCTTGACCATTATCATTTTCCAATCCTCTTGTCCTTGTTCGTACTGTCTGTTTCCCAAAGAAATATCCATTCCAGTGCCATTCTCTGCTGAAGATGAGGAGGGGCATCAGCAGGAAGAGGCAGAAGCTGTCCACTGGCATCTCTAATGCTGGAGTTGGATGCTGTTTAATTAATGCTGGGGGTAGTGGTGGTGTTCTTTTTTATATTATTCTTGAAAATAGTATATGAAATGAAAATGAGTTGCACAGACCAGTGCTGTTCTGAACCACCATACTCTACTGGACTTGTACAGGATGTAGATCTGCAGCCAAACTACTGACTGGACTCCAGGACTATTAAGAAAAGCACCATGGTCATTTAAAGACCCATTCTTTCCCAGACCTGCCTTAGTTTTGGAAGTTGATTTCAAGTATCTATAATGGCAAATGTCCATTTTTATCTCAGGTCTCACTGAGTACAAACCCCATCTAGGGCTCTCTTCAATTGTTTTCTTTTTCAAAAGTTCTATTCAATTTAAATATATATTCCTAAAATGTTTTGGTATATATTAGGATGAAATTGAGATTTTTTTCTCATTAGATCAACATTCCCACTGT